CGGGGTGTACTGTCACTAAGTATTTCCTATTATTGGGTCTTCAAATGTCAGAGTTGGGGTTCCGGGACGTTCTATTATCAGTTATAATAACTTCCTCCATCACTACGGCAACCAACCAAATCCAACCATAGAGAGGATGGCTCTGCTCCGGCCTCCTCCACCCACACCTGTGTACACAAGTGCTGAACATACACACACATGTACCGTGTTAGGGGAGGTTCTATAATGGGAACAATACACCAAAACTGTGAGGACCCAACCATCCCCCCCATATGGCCCCATTCCAATATGGAGCTGCCCCCCTTTGTGTCTCTACCATCCTCCAGTATTCTGGGAAGTCTTCCCACAAGATTTAGGGGGGGTGTCTGAGGGAATTTGTCCCATATGGGCCCTGGTCAGGTGCTGGTGATGGAGGAGAAGACCTGGGCTCACAGTCAGTGATCAGTAGGGATGAACAGAACCTTCCCTGGAGACCCCTGACCCCCGTCACTGGAGACCCCTGACCCCCGTCACTGGAGACCCCTGACCCCCGTCATTGGAGACCCCTGACCTCCATCACTGGAGACCCCTGACCATCATTGGAGACCCCTGACCTCCATCATTGGGGGATGGGCGGGGGTCACATACTTTTGGCCATGTAGTGTAGGCGGTGATGGGAACTGTAGTATCAGGACTCGCAGAGGATTCACCGCGCTTCCCACCCAATGTAATAGACGGTGAAAGTGATGCGGCAACATTCACCGATGTGTATAAAGCTGGCACACGGGAAGATCAGACACAGGAGTCAGGCTTGCGTGTCACACGTATGTGCAGAAGAAGGATACTAAACAACAGGACAATGTGAGTTTCGGCCACAAACTGGGCTTGGCTGCTTCCATGGATGTAACTCTGCCGGGACACAAGGAGGAAAAAGGTGAAAAGGGCGACAGAACGCCGGGAAACAGTGATATCCGTATAATACCCGAGAGCAGGAAACATACTCCATGTGTGAGGACCTCTGCGGAGGTGGGACCGGGTGCGTGTGAGGACCTCTGCGGAGGTGGGACCGGGTGCGTGTGAGTATGTATGCATGTATGTAATACCGGAGGACATACGTACCACTTGGCCGTTGTGCGGGTTCTTGTGGGCGTACGGTGGTCCTCG